ATACTACCTCCAGCCGGATTTAAACCTGCCATTTCGAAATTTGTAAAAGTCGGAAATAAACCCGCCACACGAGAGACCCCCATAATATATTAAATAATTATACAATTCAATACAAATAGCGGTATAATATTAAAACAAGTTTTTTTAATTAAAATAGTGACAGGTCATGATGAAACTCATATAGAATTATTTTTTTATGCAAAACCTACACTCCTTCCTCATCCTCGCAACTGATCCCAAGCGATTCCAATGCAGTGAAGATCTCACTCACATGTACGAGCGATTGCACTTATTTAAAATGAGTGAAGTGACCTCAAACATGCCAAAAAACCTGAAATATAGCTTATGTTGGGTGTGATTATATCCTTCAATAAGCATCGTAACACGTCCATGACACTTCATTACGTAGTATTGTCCTTTTACCCAAAGTTTGAACTTTTGTGATGAATCGCCAAATCTATCGATTGGTTCTTTGTACTGAATTTTGTATGTAAATAGGTGTCCTGTGGTGATTGATGTCACACTAATCGAAGTCACACACTAATTTGATGTTGCTGGTGGTTTCCTGCAAATCTGATTGGCTAAATGCTTCTGTACATTTGGTTGTGTCGATTCATTCTCCATGTCGCTCCAGTTTAGAATAAACACAACAATATCGGTGCTGTTGTACACGCTGCCATGCTCATGCGTTGGTTGGTGATCTGTGAGCCATGAAGAAGTGCATTAACAGTAGTCGACAGACTCGAGGGTGCCATTGACCATAACGTTTGCTACAAGAATCCAATAAGAAAAAGTTGAGAGTGAAAATGTAGCGCTCCGATTATGCTAAAAAGTTATAAAAGAAATAGATCTTTAAACTTTATAGATGATCAAATATGATGCGCCAAATAAAAAAACCTGTGAATTTGCACTCTATTACCAAATAAACCCTGACATATTATACATAGGCTGAACAAGACAGGCAGAATTCAATAAATTTTCAAGATTACACATGCATACTTACAACCTGTGAATTTGCACTCTATTACCAAATAAACCCTGACATATTATACATAGGCTGAACAAGACAGGCAGAATTCAATAAATTTTCAACATTACACATGCATACTTACACTGGCTTTATGTCCGCACCAGTTTACACACCAACCATGCCTACCGAACCCAACCAACCAAGCGACATCGACCGCGCCATCTCGTTCGTCAAGCGCCCCTGCTCCCGATACGTCTCCGAAAACGAGATCCTCGACATGATTATGGTCAACG